CTTGCGAGGTAACTTACGTGTACCTGAGTATGTACCAGTATGCTGGAAGTTACCTATTACATCACCGTTAATGACGTAATTGGTTGTATGGAAGTAAGATCACCTGAAAATCGAAAGTTAGGCATAACATAACCTTGTTTTGTTTCTGTGTTTTTGTTGTAATTTTTACTTGTACCTATGTCGATATTAAGTAATAATAGTATGTGGATGAATGCATTATTAGAAGAGTTTTGTATAGATGATACTTTGACCACAAGTGTGCACATAGTAATGCATTTTCTATTAAAAGCCGTTCCTGAGTGGACCAAATTTATTGTATTGCAAAAGCAAAGGAAATGCCATTTTCGTATGCCACTTTGTTATGAGGAATGGATAACAAACTATCTTGATACCGATTTTTTTATTCATTTTCGAATGATAAAGTCAACATATTTCAAATTGACCACTGCAATTGGAAAAGAATTAACAGTAAAAAAATACAGAGGAGGGTTTGAAATAATACCTCTAGAGAAAGAAATCCTAATCACTCTCTGGTACCTTGCCAAAGGAGAAACGTTAGTGTCGATCAGTGATAGATTTAATGTTAGCGTGTCAAAAGCTTTCTATATTACCATGAAAATTATTAAAGTTATCTGCTCTCTTATGCCTATTTATATTAAGTGGCCTAATGCGGAAGATTGCGAACAAATTGCAAATGATTTTCAACAGCGTTGTAATTATCCAGGTAAGGACATTTTTAAACCGCACAGCAATCAGCGTAATATGTTGTTCCTAGATGTGATTGGTGCTATTGACGGTTGCCACATAACTTGTAAAATACCCAAGGAGCAGCATGACAGTTATCAGGATCGCAAGTTTTGCCATTCCATTACCCTTCAAGGAGTGTGTATTTCCTCCAGATTATTTACTAATATTTCTGTTGGTTATCCAGGATCTGTGCATGATGCACGAGTAAGATAGTTTATGCAAACCTACAATCATGCTGTTAATAGTTTTGTAGATACTTAGAGAATCGGACTTGGGAAAAATCTGTGAAACTAACTGTTTCAATCTGTTTTACGGTAGATACCACTTGGTGGGAGATTCCGCATATCCATTAAGGTCATGGTTAATAACTCCGTATAGGTAGACACAAATACAAATAATTGCACATAGGTATTTATTGTTGTGGTTTAGGAACACTGGAATTATGCCGCTGCAACGGAAACACAACTACGCACATAGTGTGACACGGGTTGTAATCGAAAATACTTTCGGCATGTTGAAAGGCCGTTGGAGGATTTTAAATTTTGTTAATGTATATACCATTGAAAAGGCTATTGATATTATAACCGCATGTTGTATACTGCATAATTTTTGCTTGTTAACTTGTGATATATATGAAGTAGATGTCACATCAAGTGAACATGATAGTTGTGATACTTATATTGGCCGTAGAGATCGTGAAGGGACTAGAAAACGCGATTTGATATCACAAACTCTTTAATTCCTTTGTAAAAAAATTATAAATACTGATTTTGCTTGAATAGATATACATATAAAAATATAAACAATTTTTTAATCATCATCATCGCTATCACTAGAATGTCTTCTTCTTTTTCTTGTAGTTTTTTTAACCATTGATTCAAATAACGAAACTATTGTGGCTTTATGGGCATTTTGCTGCTCTAACAATTTATTCTGTGTAGTCATGAGGTTTTCTAATACCTTAAATTGGGAAGTTTGCATATCAATGTTTTCCTTATGCATCGTCTGTTTTAGCGGTGTGATAAAATTAAGCGGGTGCAAAAAAGCGGCAGCATTGAGCAAGCACTCACCTTTGTTTTAATGGATCCCAGCAATGCATTGGCGTCTCGGTAGCGGTAGTTGGTCTGTGGTAGCAAAGATGCGATAGGAGCAGCACATAAACTTTCTTTCAAACGTCAAAACATAATAATAATGTCCCACTATTATATGTCGACCGAACGACGCAAGCCCCCTCCCTGGCCGCGAGTATCAAGCTCAACGTGTTCACACAACATTCAAACTAAATACTTAATATTCAAACAAATTGAAATAAATTCCCTTGCTGTTTCTAATAATTAAACAAAAATAAATAAAAATATTGTTTGGCATAACAACAAAAATTAAATATATTGGGAAGACCAAACATCGTCAATAATGTTTGTATGACATCTGCTTTGGGCGGTTTTACCGATTTACGTATATTTTGGAAATGAGAATCTCGGTGTGGTGTATGGGATCTTGATAATGGGGTAGAGGATTCGAGTAGATGGGAAGATGATGTGGGTGTCTGTGATCGGGAGGAAGATGACGTGGGGGTGAGTGGTTGCTGGGAAGTTGTTGCACATGGCTGTGGTTGAGGAGAAGACAATGGCGCTGATGTGGATAGCCCTGGTTGATGGATTACATTTAATTCATCTTGAGTATCTGCTAATTGCAGTGAATCCTTAATATGCCCTAATGTTATTTTGTGTTTATCACCCAAAATGTTATGTAATAGGTCATAATGAGGTGGTGGTTCCCGTGCTTCACCTCCTGTTGTTTTTACATGTTTTATAAAATTTATGTACATTTTGGTCAAATTCTGAAATTATTGATAGCATTTTTTCCCTCCTTCTTTAGGATTTAGGGGAAATCCAGCACTACCTAGAAGCTCTGCAATTTTCCCCCATATAGACATTTTTACAGTTTTTTTGTCCGCAAATAAAGTTTGAAATTTTGCAGAGTTCCTTAGTTCCAACATGTATTCTGTAGCACGCCTATCAAGGTCGGTCGGTTTCCCTCTACTGCTCCAGATTTCTTGGTCGGTTTCAGCAGCTGCGACTGCGGTTTCAATAGTTTCAGGAGTTTCATCTGTAAACATTATGGTATAATTGAATTCATTCCGATAGCTTTAATATACTAAAAACTATAATTATTTTGCCTTAAGGGTCCCATATACGATACGATTGATCTGTAGAAACAGTGACATATCCTTTTAGATTGATCGTAACAACGGTTCACTCCTTATATGGAGTTTTGTAAGTATATTATAATGCTTATCGTAATGGATAAACGTCTACATACCAGAAATTCGAGAGATATCTATGTCGGCAATTGAAGTGCCTTTGCATACACCGAATTGTTCTAAAAATCCTTCCTCTATTGCCCTTGATATGTACTCTAGCACAAAATTGGCATCTACAAACAAAATGTGTTTATTTCTGTTATGTGTGGTTTTAGTATTATACGAACACATGCCTTTTGAGGTTCACTGATATAAGCAATTAACCTACCTGTTTTTAGTGCTGTTGCAACCACCCCACTATCCGAAAATGTTACAATTTCATTGTTAATTAAGAACTTCACCTCCACTAAAGTATCATCATCTTCTAGACTATTATCCATTATACCTATAAGTAATCTAGAATATAAAGTAACTATCAACCAAGAACTAATGTAAACTCACTACTCACATGTAAACATAAATAAAAGAACCAACCTCACAAATTGAGGTTAGAAAGTTAACTTTACTATTGCTTACTCCAGGTTGAAGGTAGGTAAGGGCATGTTACTTGGTTAGTGGTTACTCTAGCATACTACAGTATGACGTGACGTCATTAGTTACTCGCCAGAAATTGAAAGCGGTCTTACTGAAGGTTACTTTTCTCGCCAGAAATCGCCTTATGTATCTAAACAGGTATACCCAAAGCAGATTCTTTCGTGGACGCTTTTTTAAAATTATATAGTATGCAGCAATGGCAAGAAGTTCCGCTTTTACTCAGGTAATTGTGTAGGGCACAAATAGCCAGAACAACGTAGTTTATGCGTTGTGGGTCCGTGATATGTATAGCCGTATGCAAAATGCGGAAACGTGCAGCTAACAAGCCGAAAGCGTTCTCAGACACATTTCGCGCCCTGGATAATCTATAATTGTAAATTCGCTTTTCATATGAAAGATCTCTTTGTGGGAACGGTTTCAAAAAATTTTCATGTAACGCAAACGCCTCATCGCCTAGAAAAACAAAATTAAGCTTTCCCTTTGTTTCATCTTGATCCGGCAAATTTAGTTGTCCTGCATTAAATAACATGTATGTAATACATAAGTAATGTTTTAATATTGCTTTGTAACAAATTTCTTTTAGCTTCTATTAGTTTCCTATGAAATTCAGTATATTCCAGAACACCAACATCTGAAATTCTCCCATTTTTTTCCAACATTTACGTAAATGAATTGGTAATCTGAGTTTACTAGAGCCATTAAAGCAATACTATAAAAATTCTTATAATTATAATATTTGGCCCCTGTGTGAGGAGGAGGTACAATCCGTATATGCTTTCCATCGAAAGCTCCCCCGCAGTTTATAAATTGCCATTTACTTTCAAATCCTTGCGCAATGTTACACCATTCTTGTTTTGTTGTGGGAAACTGTAAAAAATAATACGATTACCTTACCTTACAGGAATCAGCCCGATCTTCCACCACTAATGCAACATTACAAGCAAACTTAAGACAGCCAAGACCATGCGCACCCAAGCAAACCGGGAAGGCAAGTGCTAAGAAAAGGCATACTGACTTCATGGATTATTGCATGAAACAGTTAGAATCCAGTAATGATGTAGATGAATACGATGCGTAGGGATTGCGTGGGGAAAGAAATTAAAGAGAATGGATCCCACACAAGCAATTTACGCAGAAAGTTTAATAAATAAAATAATAATGGATGGAATGTTGAAAAAGTTGACGGAAACAACAAACATTTACGATGAAAGCAGATCATCTACATCGACACCATTTCCCGAGTTTTCACCTTACACTGTATCATCAGACAACTCCTCTCCACAGTTAACAGTATCGAATCTACATCTACACGATTTCCGCAATTTTCACCCTTCACTACTGTGTCATCAGAGAACTCTGCTCAACACTGTACATTATCTAATGTCGAAGAGACGGACCCATGCACAAGAACCTATTACCAGAACGTTGTAAGCTTTTTGAAATAATTCATATAGATACTATGTATTTAAGCATTTTATTAAGTTCAGAAATATTATATCTTTCATAAACTTACCTTAAGATGTGTTTTTTTGAGAACTTGCCATATAGCTTTGCAAGTTTCGGGATGATTTGACAAAATGATGATGGCGAAATTCCAGTTGTAAATTTTAAGTCTTCAAACGAACGACCTGTAGCTAAATAGCGCAAAGTTACTGTGAGCCTTTCTTCAGCACTTATACTTTTGCGCATAATTGTGTTCTCTTTCGATATTATAGGTGAAACTAACTCTAACAAGGCACCAAAGGTTGCCGAATCCATACGCAAGTAATTCTTGAAATCGTCAGGATAATTTTCGCGCAATTCTTTAATTAGCGGCATATTACCATGTATATTCCGATCTGCTATCCATTTTTTGACCCAAATTTTTTTTTATTTCCTGGATGCGACAAATACGCCACTGCCATGCAGAGCGCCACTTTCAATTTACGTTCTCTGTTACGTCTATACATCTTCTGTAGATCAAAAAAACGGGTCCGTTAACTTGGCCCCCCACTGAGAGATTTCATAGTCGTATTATTTTGAAATGAATGCGCTCGTTATGCGCTCATATGCGCCACCGATGATAACTCTTGCGCCATTATCGTTTTTTAGAAATCCGAAAAAACATTGGGGGGGGGGCAAGTGAACTGTTAAAGTACGTTATTTGTCCCTTGTAACTAGGTCACCTGATACATTTGGTTATGCGCTCAATTGCGCCACTTGAATTAAAGCTAGCGCCATTACGGTTAAGCCGTGACAAATTTTCAAAGAGTGGGGGGGCCAACTTAACGTTTTTAAAAAGTTACTTTTTTTTAACATCTTTTCATACGAAATTGTACTCTCAGGTATGCGCTGAAATGCGCCGTAAAAAGATATCTTTGCTCCATTATTGTTTTTTGGATATCCTTAAATATATTTGGGGGGGAGGGGCCAAGTGAACGGAATCCCCCATAACGCATTTTGCTACCGGTATTTGTGCCACATCTGGTTATGAGCTCAATTGCGCCACTTGAATTAAAGCTAGCGCCATTACGGTTAAGGCATAAAAATTCTTTAAAAAGTGGAGGGTCTAACTTAGGGTTTTCAAAAGTTATTTCCGGAAGTGCGTCCATTTTGAAAATATTTTACATCGATTCGGCCTTCGGAGTAACTCCTAAATACACATTTTTAAAAACCTACCTATTTTACTTTCCCAGAATCGTTTAACTAAAGCTCCCAAAAAAACACCCTGTATAGTGTTTCTGAAACACTATAATGGCGCCAAGATTTTTGTTTACGGCGCATTTTAGCGCATGATGAAAGGTACGATGTAGTAGAAAAAACATGTTAAAAAACGTAACTTTTGAAAACGTTAAGTTAGCCCCCCCCCCACTTTTTAAAAATTTTTTATGGCTTAACCGTAATGGCGCTAGCTTTAATTCAAGTGGCGCAATTGAGCTCATAACCAGATGTATCAAGTGACACAAATACCGGTAGCAAAATGCGTTATGAGGGATTCCGTTCACTTGCCCCCCCCCCCCAAATATATTTAAGGATAACCAAAAAACAATAATGGCGCAAAGATATCTTTTTACGGCGCATTTCAGCGCATACCTGAGCGTACAATTTCGTATGAAAAGATGTTAAAAAAAAGTAACTTTTAAAAACGTTAAGTTGCCCCCCCCCCCACTTTTTGAAAATTTGTCACGGCTTAACCGTAATGGCGTTAGCTTTAATTCAAGTGGCGCAATTGAGCGCATAACCAAATGTATCAGGTGACCTAGTTACAAGGGACAAAATACGTACTGGGGGGGGGCTACGTTCACTTGGCCCCCCACAAATGTTTTTTCGGATTTCTAAAAAACGATAATGGCGCAAGAGTTATTATCGGTGGCGCATATGAGCGCATTCATTTCAAAATAATACGACTATGAAATCTCTCAGTGGGGGGGCCAAGTTAACGGACCCCAAAAAAACACTAAAACGACTAAAACCGTTTAGAAAGATTTTAGACATTCTGAAACTCCACCCGACGTGTTAATCCCGCGTGAAAGTTGACGTTTTTCGATTTACACTAACAGGTTTATCCCTTCACGTTCCGGAATGCGGGAAAGCATGTCCAACTGGAACGTTTAAATTTTAAGCTATAAACTCTTGGAACGCTACACTCTTGGAGGCGCCATTCTCGCATGAGAGTGCGCTCGTGTAAAGGTACCTATTGGAAGGCAACACCACCCACTTACCCCGTCAATCTTTACATATATTTTTGTGGTTTTAGCGCTACGATATGGTTCGAAATTACATTAGAAAAACCGCAAAAGGGGTGGACAGCGGATCGTATAGCAAAAGAGTGCTGGACGACGCTGTAAATGACGTAAAAAATGGAAACATGACGATCTATCCACTTTACGTCACCACGTCCGTGGTACCAGGGGCAAAGGAGTGACAGCTAAGAATGGTAAGGGTGGAGGAGGAGTAAGCGCTTTAAGTTCCGAAATTGAAGCCGAACTTACAAAAATTTTAAATCAAATGCAAACATGGGGCCACGGGTTGTCCAGAGAAGAAGTTTTAGACCTTGTGCAGGTTTACGTTAAACAAAATAAATTAAAAACGAAATTCAAAGACGACCGTCCTGGTGAGGAGTGGTTTATAAATTATTGTAAGAGGAACAAATTATCATTAAAGAAACCCCAGGGCGTAGAGGCAGCAAGAAAGAAGCAAGAAAATCCCTGGACAATATTTAAGTTCTTTGATTTACTCGAAAAAACGTTAAAGATCTAAATTTGGCGAGAAAACCTCACTTACTATTTAATTGCGATGAAACTTCGTTTTCAAGTGATCCATCCAAAACAAAGATTCTGGGGGATGTAGGCTCAAAGTGCTCTAGAACTATCTCTTTTTGTGGGCGAGAAAATACCACTGTCTTAGTGTGTTGTTCGGCATCTGGGAACAAATTGCCTTTATTATCTATATTCAAAGGGAAGAACGTTTTAGAATCGATGATACCCGATGAAGCAGATCCCATGGATAAAACCGCTTTTGCAGCTTCAGATAGAGGATGGATGACGGCAGCTATTTTTTCAAAGTGGTTTAGCAAGTGCTTTATCCCTAACATTCCACAAGAACGTCCTGCTCTTCTTATAGTTGATGGTCATGTCTCACATATCACTTGTGAAGTAATTAGGAAGGCAATAGATAACAACATCACCATTTTAAAATTGCCCCCACATTCCACACACATACTACAGCCCTTGGATGTAGGTGTTTTTAAGGGGATGAAAAGCAGTTGGGACAAGGCACTACTGGCAGCGAATGAATCCCAGAAGAAAATTTTCAAAGAGTGAATTTGTTGACATTCTTAATAAGGAATATAAAGGAATGCCAATTAGTAACATTGTAAATGCTTTCCGAGCAACGGGGATTTACAATCCTCAAACAGGGTATCCTGATAGGCACCAGATTCCAGAAACTATTTTTTTGAAATCTGATCTTACCAAATACAATAACGAAGTTAAAGATAATGGTAATGGTGCTAATACCCCCCTCTTCTACTCCCTTTCCTGGACCTTCGACCCGTATGGATGAATTATTAGTTGATGTAGATGCGACCCATAAATCTAACACTCCTCATCCTCTTCCTGGACCTTCAACCCATATTGATGAATTA